GTATATCACGTACACAAGACATCCAACCACATGTAGAGTAGAATACTCAGTTGGATTTCCTTTCCACATCTCCATTGGAGTCTTTAAACCAATTGCACTTGATGCGATCTATTTATCACATAACATGCAGTTTTCACGACTTCTGCCCAGAATGACTTAGCTAATCCTGCAGTTTGCAACATAGCTCTAGTCCTTTCTAGGAGAGTTCTATTCATCCGCTCTGCTACACCATTCTGCTGAGGCGTATGAGCAACTGTAAATTGTCTCATTATACCCTCTTCCTTGCAAAATGCCAAAAAATCATCGTCTGCATATTCTCCTCAATTTTCTGTCCTTAAGCACTTAATCTTCTTTCCAATTTCAAGCTCAATTAGTGCTTTGAATTGCTTGAATATTGAAAACACATTTGACTTCTTCTTCATTGGGTATACCCACAATCTCCTGGAGTAATCATCAATGAATGATACAAAATATCTTGCTCCTCCTATGGACATTTGCAGCGACTCCCACACATCAGAACGAATCAAGTCAAGTATGTGTTTGCTCTTAGTAGTTGATCTATCAAACTTCAACCTATTTTGTTTGCTTACTACATAATGCTCACAGAAAGGTAGACTTACTAATTTGAGCCCGGGTAAGAGATCACGTTCCACAAGAACTTTCAAGCCTTGTTCTGACATGTGGCCCAGTCTTCGATGCCACATTGTCGTTGAGTTTTCTTAACTAGTTGATGCAATTGACACATCACCTTCTTACAATGTCTCTCCTATAATAATGTACAGATTTGCAGATAACTTTTCTACCTTCATCACTATTAGAGCACCTCTCACCACCTTCAAGATCCCACATTCAATATGGGTCTTGCACCTGAGGTCATCTAATTGTCCAATAGACAATAAATTATTCCTCAACCCTTTCACATGTCTCACCTCTTGAATTGTGCGAACTGTACCATCATACATTTTTATTTTCACAGTACCAACACCAGCAATTTCTAAGGCGTAATTGGTTCCCATGAACACTGATCCTTCTGAGATAGGTTGATAAGTGTAAAACCAATCTCGTCAAGGAATCATGTGCCATGTTACTCCTGAATCAATTATCCAAACATCAATAAGCTGTTTACTACCTTTGGAATTAGTTGTTGCTCTGCTATATAGAATCTCTCCATCATCAGAGGTATTCGCAATACATCCTTGAGATGAACTTTCCTTAGAAGACTTCTCACCATTATTCTTCAACCAATAATCTCTTTTCAAGTGCCCTTTCTTGCCACAATTGTAGCATCTCACATTCATCTTACTTCGAGATTTTGACCTACCATGATTTTGGCTCCCACTAGGGCCACGTTCCGCTGATCTGCCTCTTGTTATTAATTAAGTTTCTACTTATTTTAAGTTTTCTTAACGGTCTTCCTTATTTATACGCCTGGACTCTTTCTCAAGAATAGCTCCGGCAACATCATCAAAGTATAGACGGTCTGTAACATTATTATTTGTTAAGTTGACGACAAGTGGATCATATGAATCTGGTAAGCTCTAAAGTAGAAGTTCTGCACGTTCATTTTCTGCTATGGTGAAATTTTTCGATGTAAGTTGGGCAAACATCGTATTAAGAGTGTTGATGTAATTTGTCACGGATGTAGATTCACTCATTCGAAGAGTGTAGAGTCTTCTCTTTAAGAAAATTTTGTTGTGAAGTGACTTGACCTCATACAATTTGATGAGAACATCCCAAATCTCCTTTGCAGTTTTCTTTTCGGTAACGCTAGACAAAACTAAATCTGCTAATGCTAAGTGCAAGTTGGCAACAACGTTGTTATCCATCTCATTCCACTTCTCATCAGATATTCCCTTGTTCTATCTTCAATTGTTGCTAAGGAATTATCCTTCCTCGGGATTGCCTTTATCTTCAATTTCCACAGGGAGAAATTACTCCCATTGAACTTCTCTATCTCAAATTTTGTCGTCATGGTAATTTCAATTAAACCGGCTTGCACAATTTCACCGTGAATAATATTTGCAGCAAAATATAGACCAACACCAAATGCTCTGATACCATTTTTGGGTATCAGAATAACATGAAATAATTATAATACAACTAAAATATAAGAGAATAGTATAGAAATGAGAAGAAACACAATTGAATGATTATAGGATGATGCATAAACAACAATATGAGTTCTCTATATATAAGAGACTCATGTACTAAAATAAGTTGATACATATTTAGTAGATTATGCTTAATCTTCTCTTTATCATAGAAATCAGTGATTTCTAATGCATTGACATTTTCTATAAAACAAATGACTTTATGTTCTCACAAGAAGAAGACGAAAGACAAAGTGGATGAACTTGATTACCTTTAAGTTTGAAGATGCTAATGAGGACGAGTTCACCGCATGTGGAAGTGAGTGTTGTTAGGATTTTGTTTTGAGAGTGACAATTATTCTGAGAGAAACTTAATAACTTTGCTTTATATATATATATATATATATATATATATATATATATATATATATATATATATATATATATATATATATATATATATATATATATATATATATATATATATATATATATATATATATATATATATATATATATATATATATATATATATATATATATATATATATTTGTGTGTATGTGTAAAACTTATCACCATAACTAATAAAAATAACTTTGATATTAAGTAAGCACTATTCACAAAGGTTTCTAGTATTAACCATGATGATAAGTATTTTTATTTTAATACATTTATAAGAATATAATGATAACCTTTTTTATAACTAAAAGAAAGAAAAAATTATTGGTGCTTAGAATCGAAGCAAATAATCTTTAATATATCAAAACAATTATGTTTAAGGACCATGGTAAAATATATTTTAATAAAATATTAAAAAATTAAGACGAGTCAATATCAATTATTATTATGATTATTTAAAAGATCGTAGTAATATAGTGTTACCAAAAATATATTTTATAGTAGTGGTTGTTAGGATGTTAGTTTCTAATTTAGTTGGTTTAGAGTTGGTAAATACTAACTAATTCAATGAAAATATTATGAATTTACTTGTTCGGCAAATAAACCATAAAATCTCCCTCCCTCTTATATTTCCAAACCACTAATTCAACACATAATTACTATAATCTTTCTCTCTTATAGTTCTTCACTAACTGTTTGAGCTGCAAAGACAATTAGTTATATTGATTTTTACTTAACAAGCTGTAGACTAACAAAACTCCTATTCTCTCATATATTAGTTTCTTCTATCTTATCAATTAGTATTTGTTCTGAAGTTTTCAAATAGTTTGTGGGATCAATTGGGAAAGCATTTTATTTATTTATTTATTTATTTATTTTTAATGAAGTGATAATTGTATTTAAAAACTTGATATTATCATTTTCATATTTTTACAAATTTTTACAAGAAAGTAATAAATTGTATCCACATCCATGATGTAGATTTTTGTTGGCGTTTTTTGTAGACATTAGAGCATTCACATCTATCATATCTATTTGGATTCTTTAAATGGGAGTCACATAATTTTTTATATTATTTCACACTTCTCAATTTTTTAAACAATTCATCTACAATTCTCAAATATCCATTTAACTCATCAAATAACTATTTTCAACTGAAATGTAATATTTTAATATTAGTTATGTAGAAAGAGAGTGTAGAAGCGTTCCCACATAAACCAACGCTTGCAAATGAAAGAACGTTTTTTTGTCTCAAATACCCATTTTATTCTGACATCATAACTTAAAAAATTGTGTAGAAACGGCATACATGTACCGATAATTATGCTCTTATTGTCTTGTTAACACATGTGGAGTATATACCACACTGAATTCCATATTTCTAATATTTTTGTTGAAAAAATATTTATAACGATTTTTTTTAAAATACTTCAAATAACAAATTTGTTTGAATAGTAAAATTTTATTTTAGAAATTTCATCCTTTTGGTAATATCTTAGTAAAATTTTAAAAAATCATTTAAATTTAAAGTTATTTCAAATAGTTTTATTAGAAAAATCATTTTTGAAATACATCTTTTCAAAAATATTATAATTTTAATTATGTTTTAATTTTCAATAACCTATATTTATATTATAAAAATATTAAATTTAATCTTTTAATGTATGTTCCACTCTATTCAACTTATGCTTGAAATTAATTCATGAATGGAGAATAAAGAATGCAAGTTCTTTTTGTCTTTTTTTTAAATTTATTTCTATGCAAGTTTCTTTTACTTATGAATAATAAATTTTGATACTACTATAGTTCTTTTTAGCTTAAAATGCACAAACACATTAATATTGAACAAACACGTTTTAGATAACACCTAGCATCTATCGAGCAAAATAAAAACGCAGCATTATGTTAATATAGTATGCCTCTTAAGAGAGTAAGAATATTAACACAACATTTACATGATAAATAATAAATTTTGATTAACTTACACTACGAAGAAACGACCGTAATCAATATCGCAATTTTTTGTACCGATAAAAATCGTGAAAAATTTTACACGACCGTGACAGATTTTAAAATCTGCCGATTTTACACGATCGAAGTTAAAATAAATGTGTGAATACATACATGAGATAATAACTAGGTTTGCATGTGGTTTGATATATTTTGCAAAAGAATATAAGTACTTTTTTCACTGTCCTTGAATAAGATCTGATAATTGACTGGTTCTAACCCTCAATCTTTTACCACCTTATTAGGTTAGAAAAAAAAGAACTGAGCATAGACTGGTTAAAAGAAAAGACAGAAAAGGTAAAACATAACCAAAATGGATAATGGAAAAGTCAGTTACTGAGTCAGAATAAGTCAAGCTTTAGAAAGTTTCAATTTCATACAATATCTTTAATTATTATATATATTCTCTCTTGGTATTTATATATACACACCAACTCTTTCACTTTTTCTTATAATCTTGTTCTCTTTCTTGTTGTGGTAGTATTCATTATTTTGAAGCAATGGGAAGAGCTCCATGTTGTGATAAATCAAAAGTGAAAAGAGGATCATGGTCCCAGGAAGAAGATGCTATTCTCAAAAACTATCTTCACAAACATGGCACAGCTGGTAATTGGATAGCTCTTCCTCAAAAAGCAGGTCATATCTTAATTCATCATTCTTCTTTATTTATTTATTTATTTATTTATTTATTTATTTATTTTGGTCTGAGTATTAGGGTTTCGAATCTAACAATATCGGTTTCTGCCAATTGAGACAAGATTTGGGAACATGATCTCTTTATTTAGGTTATACTTGTGTTGTTATTTTGATGTTGAAAATGATTTTTCATTTTGTTTAATATATGGTTTTATTGTTTTAGGTCTAAAGCGTTGTGGAAAAAGTTGTCGTTTAAGATGGTTGAACTATTTGAGGCCTAATATCAAGCTTGGAGGTTTCACTGAGGAAGAAGATAATATAATCTTCAACCTCTATAGCACCATAGGAAGCAGGCAAGTCTCCATTAATTCTTTCTATAGTTTTTATATACTCTCCATTAGTCTAATTTTATGATCAAATTTTGTGTGATTTTTGTTTATATTTTCGTTTAAGATGGTTTATTTTCTACCCAGAGCCTTCTTAAGGTTTCAGAATTTCTATATAGATTAGACACAATTTAACTGTTGCAAAACAAATAAGGAACATAGTTTCTTCCAGTGCAATATTTTGAAACTCTATTTGATTACGATTTAATCCTATTAAATTTTAGGCCATGTGTAGTAGTCCATCCGACTTGCACGCTCTCAAAGACGATCCTGATTCTGAACAAGCATAAATTGTTTTTTTTTTCTTTGTCATTAGGTGGTCCCTTATAGCAGCTCAACTAGCAGGAAGAACAGACAATGATGTGAAGAATCATTGGAACACTAAACTTAAGAAAAAGTTTTTGGCACAAAACTCATCCACAAGCAACAATATATACACTTTCAGCAATACTGCTGATACTACTACTACTAGTTCTGACCACTTCTCAAGTACTTTGACTTTTCAACCTCAACTTGAAAAACCCTTTGTCTTTGATCAAAACATGAACACGTCTTATTTTGATTCATACAATGTTATGGATTTGGATCAAACACCAATTGGTATTCCTTTACCAATGACAGTGAAATCAGAAGCTTTGTATGCTGGTAGCAGCTTGAGTAGTAGCTGTAGTACTACACCAACCACCATGGAAATTTCAAGTTTTTCAAGTGCACCCTTCTTAGAAGATAAGAACAATCATAGTCATTGGTTTGGGAATGATCATGATGATGCAATTCTTCTTGAATTTGTTCTTGAAGATTTTTTAAACCTTGACCCTCATCTGACTAACTAAGGAATTTGAGTCTTTTCGCATTCGCGCCTTCGAGATATCATTAGTCATTGGGTCTATTAAAATATATATTTTAAAATTTTTTTTGTTAAAATACTTAGTTTTAATTTGAACCGTTGATCCTAATCGAACAACTATCGATATCCTGATTGTGTGAATGCAAAGAACTGAAATGCTAACCAAGATTCTCCAAAGCTTGAAAAAGAAGAAAAAAAACCAATGGTTGGAGAAAAAGTATTAAAGGGATAGTAGAGATTATGGTTATGGAATATTGATTAAGCTATTTATAGTATTAGTAATTAAATTTTTCTAACTAGTGTTTAAATTTATGTTTTATGTAGTTGGTTGCATGTGGAATTATGTATGATTTAAAATTATTTTTCAAAGATAATGATAGTTGTAAAATTTAGAACTCTATATATATGTACATGTAGGTCAAAAGTTTTAGTGTCCTTTTTACATGTTATTTATAGTAAATAGTTTGTTTTGTACTATACTTTTGAGTGTGGTCCACAAATTCAAAGAATTGAGATATCAAAGGTCAGAAAAAATTGTTGGTTTGTGTCAGAGATGTTTGAACTAGCATATTCTTTTGAGCGTTTTTCAATCTCATGATAAGGGTTTCTTTCTATATGACATTAACAAAATGCTAATGCTTGCTTGTTCAAAACTATAAGCTTAATTTTTTCACTCATGTGTATAAATAATCTCCTAAGACATAAGTTTACAACAAGCTTAAGATATCATATGTATAAAACATGTCAGCCAAAAGAGGCCTTATTAGAAGTAACAATTATTAAATTATTAGAAGTAGTTAATGGAATATCTATTATCTATTATAATATATTAATTTTGAAACACAAATATTGATAATTCATCATCTCTTAAATTATTTGATTGACAATTCATAATCTTTCATGCCACATTAATTAAAATATAACGTGGTATTTTTCAAAAAAAAAAAATCAGTAGAAATTTTTTAATATTCATGTTAACATAATGTGTAATGTTCTACTCATAATTACTAAAATAAAACACTTTTACTTATATAATTCCCAAGTTAATTATATATTTTATTTTTCATACATTAATCATTACTATTTTTTTTGTATTTATTATTTTTTTCATACATACTACGTCAATTAAAATATGATGTGGCACTTTTCAAAAAATTTCAACAAAAAACTTTTAATATTCATTTTAACATTATGTGTAACGTCTATTCATAATTACTAAAATAAAACACTTTTATTTATATATTTCACAAGTTAATTCTATATTCTATTTTTCATATATTAATCATTACTATTTTTTTTATCTATCGTTTTTTTTTTTCATACAAAATACTTAATATAATATTTAAGTCCATACAAATTATAAATAAAAGTTAAAAAAATAAAATAAATATTACATTACTTAAAATATATCTATCTATTATAATATATCAATTGTGAGACACAAATCATTTGATTGAATTCATTATCTTTCAAATTATTTGATTGACAATTCATTATCTCTCATGTCACACTAATTAAAATATAATGTGACACTCTTCAAAATTTGTCGATAGAAATCTTTTAATATTCATTTTAACATTGCTTAAAATAATTTTTTTAACTAATACTCTTAAATTTAACTTATAACTTTATAATAGACAAACAAATGTCTTTCTTAAATATAATCCTTAATTGTAATTATAGTTACATGTTAAAAATTTAACTTTAAATATAAAATTAAATAATTAGTTATAACCTATTTCATATAAATGTCTAACAATATATTAATAAACTATAAATACTAAAGACAAAAAAAGACAATTCAATTGAATTAAATCAATTGTATACATAAAAATTATTGGTATAATGAAAGGCACACACAAAGTAACATTTTTCTTTGTGTTTATCATCTTTTTTTCATACAAAAACATAATATAATATTTTACTCAATAAAAGTTATAAATAAAAGTTAAAAAATAAAATTAATATTACATTTCTTAAAATATCTCTATCTTTTATAATATATTAATTCCGAGACAAAAACTATTTGATTAATTCATCATCTCTCAAATTATTTGATTTATAACTCATCATCTCTCATGTCACACTAATTAAAATATGATGTGAAACTCTTCAAAGTTTATCAATAGAAATTTTTAACATTTTAACATTGTTTAAAATAAAATAGTTAAATAATACTTTCAAATTTAACTTATAATTTTGCAATATGCAAACAAATGCCTTTCTAATATATAATTCTTAATTCTACTTATAGTTACATGTTAAACATTAAAGTTTAAATATAAAATTAAATAATTAATGTTTAGCCTATTTACATATAAATGTCCAATAATATGTTAATATACCATAAATAATTAATATAAAAAGAAAATTCAATTGAATTAAATCAATTGTATACATTAAAATTAATGATATAATGAAAGACAAACACACAACACCATCATTATACTCATTACTTTCTCAAACGACTAAGACATTATAAAATAGAGAATTTCATCTTAGATCGTATGCCAAGCGTAATGATTGGTTACGTATTCTGTGAATCGTTCGAATATGAAACGTATTCAACCCTTAAAAAGATGAAAAAGCATTTTTAGAGATGTTGAAAAAATAAAAAGTGAAACAATCACTATAAAAAAAGTTGTCTTTTGCCACGTGAAAGCCACGTCGCTAACACCCAATTCATGTCACTACTCAAATTTTGCCACCTTAAGAAACACGTCGCTATATAGCGCGTGGCAATCTTGTTGCGGCGTGAAAAGCACGTCACCAAGTTGCCACGTGATATTCACGCCGCAACATACTGTATAGGATCAGAGCATAACAGAGCAGAGCAGTGGGTCAGAGCAGGTTTACATATATGTTTACGTTAGATGTAGCGACGTGTTTTTCACGTCACTAATTAGTGACATGAAAAACACGCCGCAACTTGTTTTATTTAAAAAAAAATATTTTGTGTTTTAAATATATAAATTCTGTTTTAATAATTAATATTATTTTTTGTTTTATTAAATTTATAAATTAAATATTATAACTTATTTATTAAATACAATATTATAAATCAAATTATCAAAAACAAAACTAAATATATCTAAATGTATAAATAAATATATACTTAATATTATAAATTTAATAAACTCAAATTTAAATTTATGATATTTTTAAATATACCATATCATTATAAATTTATATTACACAAATAAAAAACTAAATACAAAATAAAAATAAAACTAAGCAGAATCATTAGAGTCGTCGGAAATATCGGGAAGAAAGTCATCATTATTTTGGCCACCACTGTTGGGATTTCTTCCAAATGCTTGCATAAATTGTCGCATTTGCTCCTCCATATCAGCTTGCCTCTTTGCCATTGCCTCCATTTGTCTATTATGTTCACCCCTCATTGCCTCCATTCGGGCATCCATTTGGGCCTTCAATGCCGCCTCACGATCTTCGGACTCGCGTCTAGCCAATTGTCTTACCAGTTCTAACTGATCTGGTGTCAAATTTGTTTGACGTGACCCTCCTTCACCGTCTGCAGCTCTCTGATACAGATTTCTATCCCCACTCCTCAAGGTTCCCGCCAAATTTCCACCACCAAAAAAACACCCGTTAGGCCCCTTTCCCCCAACAACTTGACTCCAAATATAGAAATCCACATCTGGATGAACCGGTTTTTCTGGAGGAGGCGTATACTGAGGATTATGGGTCAGAAATTCTACAAGCAACGCCTGATAATCCTCCTACACATACAACAAAAAAATCAAGTTAAATGTATAAGTAACATTAATGAAATTAAATGAAATAAAAATAATAATAAAAAATAAATAGCCATGTGATTGTAACGCCACAAATTATCAGTTGCCACTCAATTTTCACGCCACAACATGTCACTTGCTACATGAAAATCACGTCACAAAATTGCTTAAAAAAATATATAAACATAAATTTACTTACCAGGGCTTTTTTTGTGCGCTCGTCAGTAAATCCTCCTGATTTCTTTGTCCGAGTCTCCTTAACCAGCTCAGTCATCAATGGTTGTCTCCCCAAACGCTTAGCCTAAATATAAAAATTAAGTTAAATTAATAATATGTTATAAATCCAAATATGACCTTAAAAAGTTGTAATATTTACCATGCGTCGAGCATGCTCAGCAGTACTAATACTTCCAACAGCATTAATGCAACCCCCTTTTTCCGATGCCCTCATCTTCTTTGCACTTTCAGATTTAGCCTTAAATTCATCTGATTCCCAATACTTAAGAAGTTGTTCAAAAACTTCTTTGCCTATCCATTTGGGACGAATGCCCAAAAGGTGTCAATTCTCTCTAACACGTCGTAGCATGTCAGAAAGTCATCTTGAACTCCTCCCAAAATAATTTTATTTTACTTTGTTATGGTTCAGGGGATCCCAAACACATTTCGCCTGCAATGTTGTATGACATTAAAATAAATAGTTAGATAAATTATAACAATAATGAAAAGGTCATTTAAATAAAAATAACTTAAGAAATAAATTAATTATACCTGAAATTGCTTGAACCATTCTTCTTTATCGGAAACTTCTCTAAAACTCTTCAAAAAATTTGTATAATTCTGCTGAATTATATAATTGATAACCTTAGCAGCAGTCCGACTCGGCCCGAAACTAAAACAACAATAATTGAATTAGCATAATTAATTATATAAAGTTATATTAAAAATGGAAATGTGTACGTATAAATAAAAATCAATAAATAAGAAACTTACGAGTTCCCTTCAGGCCATATCCAAAATCTCCCATCAATGGTATGAATCTCACTCGGATCATCATCCCCTCGAAGATCTCTCCCATCTATCTGATCATCATCCACACCAACATCGTCATCATCAGACTCTGTGTGGGATGTGGGGGTGCGACCAGTCTGTGTGGGTCGTGAAGAGGTGGATCCTCCAGGCTGCTGGACGGATGGGGGCATCTGTGTAGGAAGTGGGGTGCTGGATCCTCCAG